TACTCTTAAAATATCTAGCTAACGGAGCTACATCACTATTATCCTATTTACTAATCTCCCTGGCACGTATCAGAAATATTACAGGATTGACTAGTCAAAAATAAAAGGAACAACTGGTAAGATCGGCGAATTTATAATTATACATAATGAAGATAAGCAAGGATGGCTACTGCCATTAAAGAATCGTATATAGCTTTTTCTTCTTTTACCTCTCTGGAAAATTGGCGGGCGTTGTAATATATATAACACGTGATTGTAGATGCTTTAGCCAATCGTATTAGCGTACATGAGTCATTAGTTTGTATCGTATTGCGTAGATATAAAAGCTGTTAACTATCCTACGGCCGCTTGAGGTAGAACAAATTAACTCTTAAAAATATCTGGCAAACGGAGCTACATCACCGTTATCCTATTTACTAATCTCCCTGGCACGTATCAGAAATATTACAGGCGTCATAAATTTTAACGTCAAACTACAATCCATTGAAGCAGGTATGATAATAGTGTCCGAGATTTGAAGTTTTAGACTATATCTTCTCTTTAACATTTATTCCACTAGTGATTTTATGATCTATTTGAGTCTATTTCGTTGATGGTTTACATCTTACAACGACTTTATTGTGCACTCAAATCGATCTGATCGCTTCTATTATACCCTTTTAACTTGACTTACTACAAATAGCGGACAATAACTAAAGTGCTACTTTTCCGTTAACCTATTTCCTCCCCCCCCCCCCCCCCAAAAAAATATAAACTAATGATAAGTACTTTGATAATAACAATTTTAGCAGGGAAAAGCCAGCGATACATATTAAACAGACACCCCAAGATAAGGCACTGCAGTATAAATAGAGTAAGCGCCCTTGCGTTCCGTATCTGAAGGAAGATGAAATCAATTACTTCTTATTTGTTGAAATAGTATAAAATTGATATTTGTGATTTGAAAATGATGATCAGAAATCCGCGCTATTTCTCTGTTAATATCAAGTAACAATCATCACCCAAATTAGTCAGTGCATAAATCTGCTAGTTCTACACCATAATAGATGCTATTGATTCTACTCTTATAATTCATGACATAGTCGCATAAACGTATGCATTACGGATACGGCCCTTACATTCAGCATTTCAATATTTATCTTCCTAGTGTGTCTATTGGGGTTTATTGCGCCTAAAATGTCTTGTATGTCCGTAGAGCATATCGAAGAGAATCACTTGCCAAAATCTGTTGCTCGTGTAGATAGAATTCTCTATATTTCCTTCCGTGTATTTTATTTTTATATGCTACGTGTTTATCATAAGCTTGACGCCTTTAATTCCATTCTTAACTTAACATTACTCGATAATCCTTGTTCCAGTTTTTAACCTGAGCTTGTGATTTATTTTATTTTGATACAATATTAAATTTATTAACTTGAACGTACGTATTGAAAGATTTTAGTTTTAAAGCCTACTATTTCTTCACTACGTATCTACAATCATCGTAAATCATCTATCCTAGACGGAACAGTGTTCTACTTATTTTTATGCCAAAAGAGTACTTGAAGGAAGCGTGATGACATCAAAAATTGGAGCTAATGTGTTAGCGTAATGAATTAGATTGCAAGCTCATCGTCTTAAAACAAAACGATAAAAACCTTTTTCTTCCTGATCTTTTATGCCTTTAGTCTTAAATAGCTTACAGAGAATTGAATTTTTACGGTTTACAAAGAATCATTCTGGGGTTTATGCAGTTAATCATTTTTTTGTATTAAATATGATCAGTGTCTCTTTATGAAGTTGAAGGCTATTCCCATTCATTTACATTACCTCTTTACAAAATAAATGGGATAACAGAAGAAATAAATCCTTATATGATTAATTACGATGTGGGAGTTAATTATGTTTAAAAGTCAATAAAAATATATTGTAGTGTATCATTTGACCAATGGGAAATCACTCAAATTAGGTTAGATGGATCGTTTAGGATATGATACGGTCCATGTATGTATATGATAAAAAATTGGTTATTTAGTCAACAAGATTATACTGTAGATCTTTGTAAATCACTTTTTTCTCAAATCGCTGACAGTTTTATCGTCTATTACGAGATTTACTTGTAGGAAAAAATGGTTAAACTTGAGAGGTGACTGCGATCATTTTCAGTTTTTCCTTTTCAGTTCTAAGTACATATTTTAGTATATTTTACTACTGTAGTAATGTAATGTACGGTATACTCTTGTAATGACTATCACGAAACCAAACTATCATAATCCATTTAGTTTTTGGTATTGTGGGTCAGGCATGAAACAATTACAGTGATTGCGGATTTTAAATGGCTCACAAATCGCTCTTATTTATGGTAGATTATTTGGCCTGAAAAGTCGCTCCGTTACTGGTGTTTCGGCTGGAGAAAGCATATGAGTATACTTACTATCGATTTAAAGTTAGCGGATTCTTCATGTATTTAAGCATATAACTTGTTTCATTAACGGATACATAAATAATAATTGCAGTAATTTATGATTTTACTACTATTTAATTACCTTACTGCAGTTGATAGCTTATAAAAAGTTATACCAAGGTATTATTAATTTAAGTAGATACTCTAAATTTCTGCAAAGTTAGGATGCTAAGGCTTGATGCAACTCTGTATTAACTGGCGTGCGATGCAAGTAATAACTGATTTTGAAGAAAATAAAGTACATCATATTGCAGATGTACCGGCTCAGGCTAATTTATTTAAGAATCATGTTTAACAAAAAGTATTATATTACAGATGCTACAAAAACTGATTCGGAGGAAAATAAAGTACTCATATACTTCTTACTTATTACTTATCATGGATTAGTGCTTGATAAG